TCCTAATTACGTACTATTCAATCTACGCATTAAACAGATCAAGGTTAAATAGATCTGCTCTATCCTCGACGTTTTAAATTCGGTGCCCATAACATTTCCAATTGTTTTATTCAATCCCCAACATTTTCTTCACTTCCATAACAAAGTCATAAACTCTATAAGGGTTTGGGAGGGCCTTGGCAACACTTTTCCTTTCATTGCACTTGTTTACCCATTTCATAAGCTTGGGGCAACTCTTTTCCACACTAAATTTACAGTACATTTCATATGTATGAAACCTACAAGAAAAAGGGATAAGGGCAATGTCTAGTAGCCCAAATTGATCACCTCCAAAATAGGGTTTATCCCCAAGTTCTTCTTCCAACAACTTCAAACTTTTCAAGAATTCTTGTTTTGCATCTTCTTGATCTTCTCCTTTGCTTGCCCACCTCCTCCGTCCTATATCGTATATCGATGTACGTATAGAAGAAAATGGAAAATGAAAACGAAACATTTTTAAAAATAATCACATAATTATGTTATTCAATAATTTAGAAATAAAGAACGCTGTTAAATTTTATAAATGAGTCTAATTTTGATCGACTTATATTTCTTTCTCGATTTATTCAAGTATGAACACATTCATCTCAACATTCATATAAATTATATGTATGTCGTAAACTTCTATTCAACGTAAATATAAATTACAACGAAGCAAGAAATCATAATCATATTACACGAGTGACTTATATAATCCCATCCTTTACTATGTCCAGAGTTGTTTTTTTTTTTCCTCTCCTTCTGAAAATCACTTTTACATTTTCAACCACACATTTTCCAAAAAAATCAATTTTCAAAGAATCCATCCCACACAAACACTCCATATAAAAAGTTCATATGCTTGAAAAAATATATACTTCTAAATTCATTAACATTATGTAAAATAAATCTCACCATCTTGTCGAAGAAATCGATCAAAAACCTTGATCTTGCTCTTTCATAAGGATGATGAGGAACAATTGGAAATTTGTCCTTCCATACTTCATCAATGTACTCTAGAATGTTAAGTGATTCACATATGGGCTTACCATTATGAATAAGAACAGGAACTTTCTTGTAAATTGGATTTGCCAATAGAAGCAAAGGACTTTTACCAAGGATTATATTTTCCTCTTCTTTGTAAAGGAATTGAATTCCCTTTTCCTCCAAGGCTATTTTCACTCTCATAACATAAGGGCTACTCCAAAACCCTAAAAGCACAACTCCTCCTTCCTCCATTTACACCACCAAATACCTCTTAATTCTCTTTATATTTCAGTGTGGTTTGATCTTGTTTGGATTCTTTATTTTTTTTACTTGCCAATGTCATTGCTTACCTTGAAAAAAAAAATCAATAGCATGGACTTTTTCTATAGAATTCCCACTAAATACAGATTCAATTATATCAAATAAAATTATACCAGTCAAGTGTTGATAATTTTTTTTATTTGTTTCTGTTGAACCACTCTTCTAAGAAAGATTATCTTCATATGACAAGTTTAACGCGTATCTTGATATGACAAGTTTATCCTCCTTCCTCCATTTACACCATCAAATACCTCTTAGTTCTCTTAATATTTCAGTGTGGTTTGATCTTGCTTGGATTCTTTATTTGTTTACTTGTCAATGTCATTGCTTACCTTGAAAAAAAAAATTAATGGCATGGACTTTTTCAATAGAATTCCCACTAAATACGGATTCAATTCTATCAAATAAAATTACACTAGTCAAGTGTTGATAATTTTTTTTATGGATAATTCTACTTTATCAGAACTATTCATCTACCAGAATCGTTACAGAAAAGTAGAATTCTAAAAATACCCTCCTATATAGAATTTGATACCAAAGCCACTATAAAAATATAAAGACTTCAATCAAGTCCCCAAAAAATTTATGAACCTAGAATCTTTGATAGATTTAATCCTAGATATTATAAATGAGGAAACCT